TAAACCTTGTTCTACAAAAAAACATCCATAATATTAATTTTTATTAATTATGAAACCATTCATTACTTGAAATCTATAAAGTAATAACACAAGTGTTCTGACTAATGACAATATTAAGCATGTTTCTCTGTAAAAACACAGAATGCAACAAAAAATGGCACAATTGGATAGTCAGTAAAGGATGTAAAGTCTAACAAAACGATGGTTTGCTCCTACAAATAACTGTACCTTAACCACAAATAACGTATTTACAATGTTTTCTAAGGTACTGAAAATGAAAACATTTTTTAATGCTATGAACCACCATGTTTGGCACTCAAATGAAGAACAGCACATCATTTGTACTGATAAGCAATGGGGTGGAGGGATATTTACAAAACATCAAGCATGTACACGTTTTTTTAGATGTGCTTGAATTTGACAATGATGATTATAAGGTACTTGTTATAGTTACAATGCCAAAATCTATACTGCTATTCAAGATATTCCAAATTCAGAGTTGATAAAAAAAAAATTATCAGATTATGTTTGGTGATATAACTATCAGTGGTTTTAATACTCCACCAAATATGCAATGTCTCACAATTTTCTAAAAATTTAATGTGAAATCTTTATATTTGTGATAAAAAGTATTCACAGAGGATTAATAACAATACAATACGTCTACCACTGTAGTATACTACAGACTGTTACTCTTAACAAGAATATAATAAAACTGTGTTCAACATAGAAACACAGTAAACATATTTTCAACCAAAACTAAAATTCTTAGCTTTGATTATATTCTCATATAAAATAATACTTTCTTTGTAACTCTATACAGAGTTGCAGTACATTATAGAAGACTGAATCTAGCATCAGTGTGAAAAAAAAAAACACTTTTACTCTACTTCAATATTTTGATTTTGCTGCAAAAGGATGATTATTCTTTAAATAATGCAGTAGTGGTGACTGTAAGACAAAGTTGAAATAACTTGTTTATTTTTTATAAAAGATCCATTCTCTGTTAACCAGTAATATGCATACTTTGATAAAATCAGTTTTAAAAGTTTACTAAAAAAAGCAAACTGATCTCTTAAGGCAACAAAGGATAACGTGAAGAAAATGTAGAAGAGTTGACAAAAATGTTTATAGATTAGGAAATCCGTTAAAGCTAAGCCTTCTTTTTGTTTAATTAACTAAATCTCAAACAAAACAGGTTTTAAGTAGACCTATTAAACCAATACAAAACAAACAATGTGTAACGTTATTTGACAAAAACTGAATCCCATAAAAATTATATGTCTGTACTGTTAGATTGCTGAACAGCAGAGAAGCAGGAAAGACTAAACAGCAGTATGAAGAACTAGAATGACCTATATTATTATTATGTCCATATATATATACTGATAAAAGATATATTTTGTTACTCTTAAGTCTATGAAATATGTATATAGCAAATCTGAGTGGGTGTAAATCACTGTTATACCCTTTTTTTAAAGAATAAAATGGTATACTTCACAATCAATTATATCAAGTGTTATATAACATTACAGATAACAATCACACAAAGCACTGTTTACTTTCCTTACATGGAAAAGCTCTCTTGACTATGTTAACATTCTATTTACCTAACCATATAGCATCAAGAGTCACTACTAAAATGTATTATCTCATGGCATATATAATCTGTTAGTTATGGCTTTGTATGCCATCAATTATTATAGACTGAGCCAATAACCTCTTGAGCATCTTTAGTACTAAATCTCCTCAGTATCTGAAAACATGTTTCTTGAAGCACAAGAGAAGCAAGTTGAAATGTGGCTAACAATTATCCAAATCTATAATGCAGGCAAATGTAAAAAAATCCATCTGCTATTATAAGAAAATATCATACAAAATTTCAAAATCATATGCATCAGATCTTTTAGGTTTATAAATACATATTTAGTTAATGTTTTACCATGAAATGTTAATATTCTAGATCAGCTAACACTCCAGAAGGAACTATACCAGGCAAACTAAAAAATAAATACCCTAAAAAGAATACAATATATTCACAGCTGACATACTAAATTTAGTATTATACTTAAAGCACAAGATTAATAGCTAAAATCTTATTTATGACATGACTTTACAGAGTAAGCTTCACCAACAATGATATGACACAAAGTCATATGGTTAAATACATCAAATCATGCAAGGAGCTTGAAGATAGAATTAATTTATCACATAGGGTCAGTTTTCCTTTTTATAAAACAATATGACTGAAATTAGCAAAGCATAAAGTGATTTTATTTTAAACTAAATAAAAGTAAATAATCTGGAGAAGTAATTTATTTATCAAATAACTTTAATATTGTATTTAACTTTCCCATAAAAATCCTAGGTTCTCCTGATCATAAAGAAGCTTGTTACTAATGTATACAAGATATGTGGTACCACTTTAACCGATTAAAATACATTTTTGTACACGCTAACTCAGGTACTAAATAACATTTTGTTTATATTGGAAATGCTGCTTTAGCAGGACAGGTGTCACTAGGTGTTTGTCCATACAGAAATATATCTCATTAAAATAAAGTTCTCTTTCTTACGGTATTAATGCTTATATGAAATACCTAGGCTGTATCTTCATTTAGAATAAGTATTTCTGCTTATCATTAATTATAACATACAAATATTACACTGCTATTGAAGGCCAGAACATTGTTATAACCTATTTTTTGATGATTGTTACAAAGTACTAGTTGAACTTATATAGTTACAGAAATAAACAATTTCCAAAATGATCAAAAGTAGTATATGAAATGAACCTTGTACATCTACCTAACTTATCTACAAAATTTTGGAACAAATTATAACAAATAATTTTCTCAAATATATCTGACTTTTCAGGCCAAAACTACAAATTTTATGAAGGAGAGTTTCTAAAAACTTAAAAATTCAAATATTATTATTATTATTATTGTAATAGTTGTCTTTCAAATCTTCTTAGTTCTTAATTCATTAACATTCGTAACCTAAGAAGAGTAGAAAACTCACTAAATAAAATTACAAAAAATTTGGTATACTAAGTAACATTAAGTTTATAAGAATAGACAAGTGTTTTAACTATAAGGACGGGTTGACATTTTTCATGTAAGATGTAGTCAACTGATGAGCAGTATGTGTAAAAATATGCATCAAGATTCAAGTCTAAAGTTTAATCAAAATACACACTACAGGAGTGGATAATATGTTTGTCATGGTTCTTTATAGGACTCTTAACTTTCCTAATAATCTAGTTTAAAATCTTTTTTTTTTCATAATATACTCTGTGAAGTATTTAACAACATTCTATTCTATGACATCATCATCTTTTAAAAGTTTAGCCTTAACATGTTTCCTAAACATATGCATTTCTCTAAAAGTAACTAAAACTTTTCAATCTTCGAAGAGTCAACAATTTCTAAAACTTCTAACATTAAAATTTGGTGGTGACAACAATTTATAAATTTTTAGTGAAGTCTACATGAGGTAGAAATGTCACTACAACAGCAAGGTATAAAATCCTCCATAACACTTAACCAAACAAGAACAATGTATTTTCTTCTCTTTATATTAATTAATTAATTATATTAATTAATAAACTGGCAATGAATGTTAAAAACTTTTAATGCCTGTAAAAATCAATTACTTCAAAATCTTTTTCCACATCTAAACAAGACTGTAATTAATCTGTCTTTTCATCATAAACTTGGGTGTTACTTTAACATCTTTTTTGTAGCACTTGACGTTTCCTAAATGCAATTTTTGTAATCAAGGTGTGAATAAAATATTTGAAGCAACTTTTCACAGTAACTAATAATTTTTTTTTCTGTTTTAAAATTAAAGAAACATGATAAAGAAAAACTATTTCAGTGTTATCTAACTAATAAACATACTGGTGCAGACTAAAGGAGTAATAGTACTGGCTGACAACTAGGCTGTCCTACCTACACACTAAATGCATGAAGTCCTTGTAACAGCACTAAGGTAGCGTGATTGCCCTGGATTTAATTTTGAGGTGAATTCCTTAGCCACTAGGTTACTAAAATGCCTCGGTATCATCAATTAATTCAGTTCTTCCATAAAATGTTATACAAAGTTGGGTGTGTGTGAATATATATATATATATATATATGTCCGATTATCCAAGTACACATTGATTTGTTTAACCACAGAGATTTTCAATGTGTAGAAAACTTGCCATAAACAATACACTAAAATCAGTCAAATAATAACAACAAAACTACAGATGTGAATTGACTGCCTTTAGCTACAAGCCTTTTACCGGTTCTTATCAGCTGGTTAAAAACACCAAGTAAACCATGGTCAAACTACACCATTAAATAGTACTACACTCTTTTCCGAAAACTGAAGTATTAATTTAAAGAAATGCAATCTGGGATGGTAACTTACTTCCATATTCTTACTCTGACACAAGCTGAATACATTTTGAAAGACTATTCAGTGTTTTAACACATTTTACTCACTGCTATATATATATATATATATATATATACACATATATATATATATATATATAACAAACCAAACTTATTTATTACT